ATAGGCTTTAATAAAACATTATGAACATTAGTAACATTAATAAATTAGCCAAACTAGCTAATTCTAAGTATTTTTTAATGATCATGTGACACTGAAGGCTAGAGTAATAATCATACCTGTCAACACTCCCATTTTTTATCTGAGGTTTTCCGAATTTTACAATTGTATTTCACTATCATCCCGTAAAGCTATTTTCCTGTATTTGTCCCATATTTTTTTTTACCTTTCTATGAAGGGTGGCAATAAACATCAAAGAGCTGATCCTACCTATACACAACCCATACCGCCGAATCACTTAAATGTGAATCTGTTTTGTGCTTTTATTTTATTTAATGCACTTTGAAATAAATATTGAAACGGCAGAATTCCCTTTTTTCCATTACAGGCACCGTCGCTCCTCCTTTGCAATCCTCAAAACAGTCAGTTCATGTAACGATGCGTTACTGACAGCTGACGCACTCTATAGTGATAAATAGTATCTGTTTCACAAACAGATTTTGTACACGTGATTTGAAGTGGACACTGGGTTTTGGGAGCGTGGTTTAACCAGACATACTGTATACACATAATAATAATAATAATAATTATATCTAAGTAGGTTTTCTTTTGAACACAACACATTTTGTCTCAAATGAGCATAAAAATTTAGGAAAATAACCAAATGCTTTCATGACATATGTGTTCATTTTTAAACTGACACCACTGTTATTTAAAGTAATCAAACAAAATCTAAATGAGAGATTCATTTGCTGCTCTTTAATCAGAAGGTTTATACTGTGAAGAAAAGGTTAATGAGATTTGATAACTTGATTCCTTTTCTTACAATAGCTATTAATTTTAATAGGTTTAATAGGTTTTCTACACTGTAAAACCCAAAAAGTTAAGGTAACTCTAACCATTTGAGGAAACCGATTGCAATACGCCATTTAAGTTCAAAGACTAATCCTAATGAGTACTGTGAACTTATTTCATTTGAGTAAATGAAGCAATTTGAGCACAGTAAAACCTGATAAATGAAGAGAACTCAAACCATCTGAGTACTGTAAAATCCAGTAAGTTAAGGCAACTCAAACCGTTTGAGGTAATCGATTGCTAAAAACCATTTGAGTTAAAATCTAATCTATATGAGTACTGTGAACTTACTTCATTTAAGTTATTAGGTATTTAATTAACTCATTACCTTCAACAATGAGTTCAAAACTCTTTTCAAATGAGTAGAATTAACTTTCAGTCAATTTTGAGTTAACACACTCATTTCATTTGATAAAGTTGACTGTTGGGTTTCACATTGTAATGTATGCTATTCTATCTTTTGTGAATAATAACATTTATCAATAGTACAAATAAATTAATGCAAGCATATTACTGACAGTTTCAACTGTTTATTTTTAATTTTTTTAGAGAGGGGGTGGGGGTGGGGTGATGGGGTCCCTTATTTTCACATCCCAATGTTGACAGGTGGTAACAATGCAGAATATTCACATTTTAAAAACTCTTAAAACCAAAAACCAAGGTAATTTCAATTTTGTAATAATATTTGACCTTATTACCATTTTTTACAGAATTTCCTTGATCAAATCCTCGATCTCCATAAGAAACCAATTTCAGAAACGCGGAATAAAATCTCACTGACCTCAAACATTTGAACGGTAGTGTTCAACCCAAACAAGATTTCAACAGAATAAAGTTAACTAACAGACTAAAGAGTTGTTGAATTAATCCAGCGCTAATGCAACGGCCAACCATTTCAGCAGAGAGTACAGCCAGACATGAAGCCAGAGACTCAAGCCAAAAGCACCGGGAGCCAAATAGAGGCCGAGCCGAGCCCTGTTACAAACCCACACTCAAAGAGCTGCCTTACAATTCCCTGCTGGACGGACAGAAAAAAGAAAAAGAGACCCGGTGACAGCAAGACAGCAGCACATGTACGCAAGTGAGAATGGGTATGCTGTGAGAAATAGCATTTAATTTCCAAAGCAAACAGTCATCAAGTTCACGTACGGTTAGAACAGGGCGACACCCACACAAATGCACAAAACACAAAGACGGAGGACTATATGCAGCCACGGAAGCAATCTGCGCCGCCATTTAATGTGGTTTTGTGCGTCTTTTCACTGTTCGTTCAACTGCACAATGAATCGGAATAAATAGAAAGCAACTTTTTTTGCAGTTATTCAGATTGGCACAAACACACTCTTCGTATTCTCCGCTTGTTGTGTGAAGCTCCAGCTGAAGAGACAGGACAAGGGTGTGCGAGTCTTTGGCGGAAGTGGTTGGCCGCTGGGTTGTGCCTCTGATTCCTACCCTAAGGAACAATCGGCAGGAACTTTTACACAGACACAGGAAATGAAGGGGTCACACACACACACACACACGTGCACACGCACACACACTGTACTGCATGCAGCTGTTTGTAATTCACACTCTTGGATAAATAAAAAGGTTGGTTTTGGGATGTTTGGAAAATCTAAAGGAGCAGCTGTATCCTCTCAAAATGAACAGAGGAATAAAGGTGCACACACACACATACACACACACACACACACTCGCTTTCTGGGTAATGAATATGAGAGACGTGAAGAATGAAAATGTGTATGTTGCTCCTTTGATGAAAGAACGGAGAAAAACCACCAGATGAAGGAAATGTCCAGCGATGTGTTTTCTTTCTAAATGATCTATTTCATCCTAGCTCTCTTAATGAAGGTCTGAAATATGATTTCATCAGCCATGATAAAGAGAGAGCATTTAGAAATGAGTGCGGTGTGTGTGTGCGGTTATATGAGATGTTCGTGTGCATGCTGCTCTTGTCTCGGAGCCACTTAGCTCTGAAAACGGAGAAGAAAATCTATCCGCCCCTTTCTTCTCCGGCAACCCTGAAATCAATCTTTTGTGCAGTGATAAATTTGCATTTATTTGCCTGGTTACCTTCCCTAAACAAGTCAGAGGGAAACATGGGATGCTGGTCATGCAAATGCTGGAGAGTGTCAACATAAAACACACATCATGTTGACGTGTTACATGCAAACAGACGTTTGGTCACAAACTTTAATTCTGGGGTTTCGGAGAGACTGAAAGGTAATAACGGAGCGGTCGGTCCTTGTAATCAAACGAACATGTTGGATAGCCGAGGAAAATTCCCAATATGACATGTATAATACTATAGCCATAACAATGTATGCTAAACAGTTTTCAGATACTGATTACAGAGTATTAAAGTCAACAGTCGCCCAAAAATGAAAATTCAGTCATCATTTTCTGATCCCGGTGTTGATCTAATGCTGTAATTCTGTTTTTCTTTTTCTGCCAGACTGCAGAAGGAGATTTATGTTTACTTCCTGATCATGCTAGTCTATGAAATGGCAGTGACTAAGAGATTACAACATTACATTTATATTTAGTCATTTAGCAGACGATTTTGTCTAAAGCGACCTACAGTTGAGGTGGCATTCAGTGATTCAACAAAAAGAGGCAATACACACAAGAAGTGCTCATTATATAAATTAATTATTTGTGCTTATTGGAGAATTAAGTGCTAGAGTTAAGGGAGGGGAGGGGGGGTTTTGGTGAGAAGAGTTTCTACAGGTGTTTTGTAAAGCCCACTCACATGTGTGAAGCACACTTTATAAATGCAGTGTTTTGTTGTTGTTTTGTAAGAATGTGTCCTTTACAAATGTGCAAAACTGATGCAATGTCACTTAGGGTGCTTTAACACTAGCACTTTTTGATTAGTTTACGTCAGAGTATGGTACGTTTAGCTGTGTGAACGTGTCTTCTGAACTCATGTGCGCGCCAACGAACCATATTAGAGTCCGCCTGAAAGAGGTGGTCTGGGGTACAGTTCACACGATTTCTGGTTCAGTTCACCAGTTCAACCGCCAACTGTACAACAAACGTTTTCAGAATGAGCCTATGTTGGAAGTAAATGTTGTGTTTGTTGCAACAGTAGTGTTCATTTAGACAATCAGAGTTTCATTCCAGTTATTCAGTGTACACAGTGCAAATACTAATGGTCAGAAGATCGTATGTCAATGCACACTTCATGAGTGAGTTAGTGTAAAAATCATTCACATGCAGTGACACAGTATAGGACACGACATTATGGACTGGTAAGCAATTGTATAAAATTATACAAAACATGGACAGATAAAGAAATTTAGGGCCTCTCTCTCTCTCTGTCTCTCTCTCTCTCTCTCTCTCTATCACTCTCTCTCATATTAATGATACAAGCTGTGAATAACTGTTACAAACATAGGTTATTTTTAGCACTGGGACATCAGGGTTCCTGGTAACCTCTTGTGTGTGAATTTTAAAGCCTAGTCCACAGTAAACTATCATCTCTGATGACCCCGTCATGCATGACCATCATCCAGCACTCGCGGTTCAGTGAGTTTATTCTCCTGATTGGTCAACTTCAGATAGATCGACAGATTGGCTCATTCAACCGCACACTGTTCAGACTGACAGTTCCTGAATGTTTTAGTTTTTTTTTTATTTTTGATAAGTTTAAAAATCGCCAGGAAGCTCCTCACAGTAAAAGCCATGACCATATGAGTGTTACTTCTCCTGATGGGCAAAAATCATGTACAAGCTCAAACAACAGTAAAAATTGCACGGTGTATGCCCATCTTTAGTGAAAACAAAGTACACTTTTAGTGGGGTTTCCAGGCATTACATGGTTAATTAAGCTTGATCCATTGAAAAAAATGTGTTTGGTTGAGTTAAAATGAACAGAAGCTCTAACAGAGTCTCATGAATGCAAAGTCATGCACAAAGACAGACACCAAGATTTCCTTAAAGTGTGGATTTATAGTGAGATTTCTGAAATGCTTTTGAGAAAAAGTCTTTTATGCTCACCCAAACTAAATTTAACTGATGATCAAAATGATCAAAATGCAAAAAAAAAAAAAAAAAAAAAAAAGCAGCAATATTGCGAATTCCACTTGAATTTTACAGGAACAGATTTTAAAGATGGCGGTTCATTCCGCTGTGGCAACCCCTGATGAATAAAGGAACTTAGCCGAAAGAAAAAGAATGAATGAATGAATGGTGGGTGTTACATACTGGGATGTAGTCAGATCTGAATAACATCTTGCAGTCGACTTTAGAAGGCACAGTCCATGTAATACCATCTAGAAGAAGAAAAAAATATGTCAGAACATTATTCTACCATCTATTTTATATAAGCCTTTCTATATTTTAGTTTTACTAATCAAAGAATTCTACATAGATATTTCATATTCACACCTAAAATAATCACTTCAACTTCAACTAGAAAAGAAGCATCTGCTTTTAAACAGAGACTGGACACACTGTATCAGCTAAAAGTTGATTCTTCTGTATAGCCAATGGTAAACAAACACATCCTAAATGACATGGTAAAGTCTACAGCACTGAGGCGCCATTTCATTTATAAACATTTTAAAAGCCTTAAAAGCAGTATGAAGCCTTTCATGTCCACAAAACCTACAGCATTTGTCCTCATCAGGACTGTACACTCGCACTATCATACAAAATGGTCTAAAAATGAATCCAATGATGACATATAACAGAATTAGAGAAAAAAATGCTCTTCTGTTGCCTCCCAGACACCATGATTTCACTTGTGTCCATCTCTGTCATCAGTATCAGTGTCTTCGCTGCCGTTACACACCATATGGCCTGTGGGATTTGGTCTCCCTCACCCACACAGGTCAGATTATTTCCTGTGACGAGTGCTTGATGACTGCTAGAACAATTTATTAAACACTTTGATTATCATGACAATTGATTTTTCCATTTGGTTCAAGTTTTTGATTTACGCTGAATTGAAATTTATTTTAAGTATTTTATTAATTCACTGGTTGCCATTAGTGTCCCTGTAGTATAATAAAAGCAGGAGTGCACACTTATGACCCTGAACCACAAAACCAGAACAATATTTGAGATTTATGCACCATTTGAAAGATAAATAAACAATCTCTCTTTTATTGTGTGGTGTGTTAGGATGGGATGATATTTGGTCAAGATACAAGTATGTAAATATCAAAAATCTGTAAAAAAATTAAATAAAGAAATAATGAGAAAACTGCCTTTAAATTTGACTAATTTAAGTTCTTTGTAATACTAATTAAAAAGTACTTTTGATATATTTATGGTAGAAAATGAACAAAATATCGTCTTGAAACACAATTTTAAGTTTTATATAATGATTTTTGCCATATAAGAAAAAAAAAAAAAGATAATTTTCACCCACACAATGTATTTTTGTAAAAATTCACTGTAAAAATATAAAACTGTCCTTATTAAGTGTCCTTATTGTTCCTTCAGAATATGACATGTTGGTTGATTTACTAATAATCAATGAGAAAAAAACACACTAATAAAAATCAGCTGTTCATTTAAAGCAGGGGTTCCCAAACATTTTAGCTCGCGACTCCCAAAATAACAATTCCAATGACTCATGAGCCCCCACAATTCTTAGAGGTAGTTATAAACATACAAACAGTGCACACACACACACACTAATAGGAACTATATAAGCAAACTTATTGACAACACAAAAAAGTGCAACAGTCTAACCTAACAACTATATTATTTTTTATAGTCATTATTCACTTGTTTATAGTAATATTAACCTAAGAATGGTGAGCACAATGTTTACAGCACAAGACTAATCATTCAATTATTCATTTTCTTTTCGGCTTAGTCCCTTTATTAATCTGGGATTGCCACAGCGGAACGAACCACCAACTCATCCAGCAAATGTTTTACATTGTGGATGCCCTTCCAGCTGCAACCCATCACTGGGAAACACCCATACGCTCTAATTCACACACAGACACTACGGACAATTTAGCTTACCCAATTCACCTGTATCGCATGTCTTTGGATTTGTGAGGGAAAACGGAGGACCTGGGGGGAACCCACACGAACATAGGGAGTACATGCAAACTCCACACAGAAATGTCAACTGACCAAACTGAGGCTCAAACTAGTGACCTTCTTGCTGTGAGGCGACAGTGCTACCCATTGCGCCACCGCGGTGCCCATAGCAAAGACTATTCTTGGTTTAATTTTGGAGACAGCAACTTGAAGAGTTGCCTTTATTTTTAATGTACATGAGTGCCGTAAAGGTGTTAAAGTTTAACATTGGGCTGTTAAATCAATCTGCTGCAACTAACGCTATTGCTGTGTTATTAATGTAGCGTAATAACCCCAGAGGTCGCAATCTAACGAAAAAAGATTTGAAAGGCTGATGGATTTTTATTTTTTGCATGTTGTTTTTTTATGTAACTATTAAATACTATTTTATGGGGAAAAAATGGCAATTTTAATAGTTGGCAATTCACATGTATTTTTTGGGGTCCCCGACCAGTGGTGCCAGATTGGGCGGTTTTGAACTTGATTGTGCAGGTAAAAAAATAGCATAGGCGACCATTTTTTAGGTTGACAAAATTTGGGCGGTTTTGAAATGTAAATTTTAAATGCAACTTATTTAACAAACCATAACTGTGTGCTCAGGGCGAAGCAGTGGCGCAGTAGGTAGTGCTTTCACCTCACAGCAAGATGGTCGCTGGGTGGCTGGTTCGATCCTCGGCTCAGTTGGCGTTTCTGTGTGGAGTTTGCATGTTCTCCCTGCGTTCGCGTGGGTTTCCTCCGGGTGCTCCGGTTTCCCCCACAGTCCAAAGACATGTATTACAGGTGAATTGGGTGGGCTAAATTGTCCGTAGTGTATGAATGTGTGTGTGGATGTTTCCCAGAGATGGGTTGCAGTAAAAACTTGCTGTGTAAAAACTTGCTGGATAAGTTTGCGGTTCATTCCACTGTGGCGACCCCGGATTAATAAAGGGAATAAGCCAACAAGAAAATGAATGAATGAATGAACTGTGTGCTCATACTCTGTTCATTTAGTAGTGACCAGTGAATATTGCAAACCGCATGGGCCCACCAGCAAGAAGAAGTGAATCAAAGTTGTATCAAAATCTGACTTCCCTTACAAATCTGACAAGGGCATAGATTCACTCTTGACATTGGTGGGACATATATCCCTTGAGTGCATGCATTGTGCAAAATGTTTATTCACTTTTTAAAACATGAATAAAGTACTTAATTATACAAAATAAACACATAATAATACAAATAACAATTAATGAATCATGTTCCATGCTGCAAAAGTCAATATAGATGATTTTACTGCAACCTGGCTTTGAGGAGGTATGAATATAGAGAAATTTAGAGAGGTGTGTGATGCAATTTAACTGCTTTATCCCAATTATTGTTTTTCATAATCACGTTTTTTTCATAATCATGGAGGCCAAAATTCGAACTGAATTTTGATTAATTACACAGCCTTGGTTAATAATAGTATTATAGTGAACTAATAGCAAACTTGACTTTAACCATTTATGCACAAGTAGGTTACTAAGGGTTGACAGAACATTATTTTATTTTGAAGTCCATTAGATTATTGGTATAGGGACATTTCAGTAATTGGTAGACATTGGTGGGGACACATACCCTCCGTCCCTGCCAATTTCGTGTGTACACGCATCATGCAGTGCTTGCAGTTAAACTTAGTGGTATATCATAACACTTTTATCGATCATTTTTTTTCCCCAATTGAAAAAAAAATTGTCTGCTTGACAAGCAGCACCTAATTATTTTCAAAAGAATTAAAAACACCAAATGGGACGAATTTATACCCCATTTCCAAAGTAAAACAAACTCTAGGTAGTGTAATTTATACAAAAAAGAGCAGTGTGTGGGTGAGAGGTGGGCATGTGATCTGGTTATGTTGTGGTTCTGTGACTGCTGGTGTTGGTTGCTGTATAGTTAAAAAATGATGATTATTAAAGTATACTTTAAAACCCAACAGTCAACTTTATCAAATAAAATGAGTGTAGTAAACTCAAAATTGACTGAAAGTTAATTCTACTTATTTGAAAAGAGTTTTGAACTCAGTGTTCAAGGTAATGAGGCTGGATTAATAAGGCTGAATTTCATTTTTTGTGAACTTAAATAGAGTAAGTTCACAGTACTCGTATAGATTAGTTTTTTTTTTTTAACTCAAATGGTTTGTAGCAATCGGTTTCCTCAAACGGTTTGAGTTGCCTTAATTTATTGAGTTTTACAGTACTCAGTTGGTTTAAGTTCTCTTTATTTATTGGGTTTTACTGTGCTCAAGTTGCTTCATTTACTCAAATGGATTAAGTTTACAGTACTCATTATTTGTTTTTGAACTTAAGAGGTTTGCTGCAATCGATTTCCTCAAATGGTTTTTGGGTTTTACAGTGTAAGCAGTTTAATTTCGATTTACATAAATTAAATGATTAATCTAATATTATAATTTAATAGTTTTTTTGTCCGGTTGGGAGGGTTTTGGACAGCTTTTGGATTGGAAAAATTCAGCTATATCTGGCAACACTGGTCCCGACCTCCACTTTGGGAACCACTGATTTAAAGATACACCAAACGTTTTACACTATTATCTTCCATTCCATTTTAAACATGCATTTTGTCTCTTACAAATTGGCAGTTGCAGCTTTATTATACAATAAAACCAGGAATATGATTTTCAGATCCATTTCATATGGTAAGTTGGTTGACTAATGAATAATTAAGTTAAAAAAGACACTACAATGAAACACAACTATGCTTTTAAAGGCACACCCAACGGTAAATTGAAACTCTTGTGTCTTCTCCTTTTTTTTTTCAAGAATGTGATACCAGATCTCCATTACTTCATCAGTCTTATCAGACCCTCATCGCTCGTCTAAGAGCAGAAATTGCGTGTGACGTGTGATAGACAGAGTTTAGTAACGCAGCAAATTCCATTGAAAGACTTATCTGAGAGAGATCTGAAGGGAATGTTATGTCTCAAGACAGTCAAGTCATAAGTAATTGGAGGTGGGAAGGAGCGAAAGGGAAATTTACGATCACATGAAATGAACTTAACTGCCTTTCCTCTCTAGATGAAATCCTCAGTCTGCCTGTTTGGGCATGGCTTGATGTTCGTTCTTATTTGCTTGAACAAATCAAGGCAGGCACAAGTGGAGCAGATGTCAAACAAGCTAAACTCTGCCTGTAATAATTTGTACACATTTAACAGGACATTTAAGTATAATAAGACAGGGCATGTACAAACAAACGC